CATCATCATATTTTACAGTGGGTGTGAGAGCTTGTACACAGTTTTTTTTTTTTTTTCATCAATCATGCAGTCAGAGACACTTTGGTAAATTTCAGGTGCTTCAGTTTTTGGTCTTTGGAAGGTTTTGCACATACAGCTTGTTATTACGTAGGTGGTGTTTAATACTTTATAAATAAAATAAATTAATCTCTGCCATTATTATTACTACAGTGATAATGGTAGAAGTGGTAGAAGTTCAGTATTGTACACAAAGGTTCCAAAAGTCAAAAAGCTTTTCAAATGCTCAATCATTTCAAATATCCACTGGGTTCACCACAGCTTAAGACGTACTCTGCTTACACAGCTGACTTTTGTCCAAAACATTCTGTTTTACTGGAAACTTTGTGTACTATACTGATAAATTTAATGAATAAATTGTATCATCTTTATGCATGTACTATTGGCCTTGGATAGCATTCTATATGTATATTGTTTTTTGTTTTTTTTTGAGTGTACAAAACCTGAATTTCAGGGTGAAATATAATTTCAAAGTCTTCACCAGATGCCTGTAATTAAGCCCTGAATATGGCCTGTATATGTGGACACATCACTCTCTCTTTTGCTCTCTCAGTGCCTTCCAATTTTCTCGGCGCATAAACAACAGTGGTGCAGTAATTGAAAAATTTTTAGAAACCAAAAAAAACAACAAAAATAATAACTAAAATGTTCAACTTATTGAAGGCGAAGTTTTGATAGATTTATCCCCTTCAAACTAGAATAATGCAGAATAAGATTTAATAAGGTCTTTCATATCAGCGAGTACAAAGCGTGGCATTAGCATTAAAGCGTGTGTTGGGGTGCAGGCGAGTGGCGCGTGGCTTTAAGCACATTGATGTGCAGGTTCAAGGTGCTGCAGCTGCATTGTTTCATCTGAAAGCTGTGACAGGTATTGAGGTGATTATTAACAGTCTGAACAGCTCTGCTCAGGAGGCAGAGGGTTTGAAATGGTGAAATACAGACAGCTGAGGCAAAGGTTCATTTAAAATAAATCCTGCAGGGGAAGACACACATCATCGAGCCGCAGCGACATCCGCTCAGGCGCACAGAGTTTTAACCTGCACTCTGTTGTTCAAACAATCAGAGATTGAACGAATTGCAATGGACTTCCTGAGATACTGAAATATAAACCATTACCTGCCTGTCAGTTTAACTCAATTATGCTGTTTTTCCTACTAATGCGTATGTGGGGGGAACTTTGTCTCTTTTTCTTTCTCTGAATTGGCTTAGTCTTTCCACCTCTCCTTCTCCATCACCCCTTCTTTTTCTCTCCCTTCTCTCTCTTTGTCCCACTCTGTTCCAAACTCTTGTTTTGTCTGGCTCTCTTCTTGCACTCTTTCTACAACACTCTCTCTTTCTACTATGTCTGTCTTGTTTTTGTTTTTTTCTTTATTTATTTCTCTTTTACCTTCTAGCTTTCTGTTGTTATTTTCCCCTTTTTATTCTCCCTCTTTTTCTCTCCTTCATGCTCAATGCTTACACTGTAAAAAGAGTAGGCTTATTTACCCCTCTGTAATTAACATTTTGAAGGGTATCGTTTAGAGTTTTGCCATTGACCAATGACAAACCCAAGGGTCTGCCCTATAGAATGCAAGACTCAAACTGATTGCCCATATTGAACGCACAAGGCTTTGAGTGCATACACTCATAAGGACATTTCTTAAAGGTGTATAACATCTCCAACCCCTACACAAAGCAGTGGTCCTACAGTAGGACCTGAACTTGGTGAGAAGCAGTTTGTGCATCTTGCCATAAAATTGGTTTCACTTAAGACAGTTTTTTTTTTGCTGACCATCCCTATGGTGAGTCAGAGCCTGTTCAAACCAGACTTGTGTGCAGGAAGGGCTCTCAGGTACTATGTGGAAGTTATCACCAGCTGGCAGGTCACCGACCAGCTGTTTGTGTGCTCTGGGTATGCCATAAAGTGGCAGGGTAGCCCACTGGATAAAGGAAGTGACTGTGCAAGCATATTTGAATGCAGACTTTATTCATTAAATGCCATTTGACATGCACTATAGCTATGTCCTGGGTGGCACTAAGAGGAGTGTCACTGGCAGACATTTGTAAAGCAGAGAAATGGAGTTCACCATCCAAATTCACCAGATAACACAGACTAAATCTTTTTTGCAATACATTCCACGTGTTCTTTGATGAGCGTAAGTGGCTCTTCCCTTATATCAAGAATGGTATCTGAGCCTGAGCACTTCTCATGCTCAGTAGAGCAGTTCTCCTGCGTCAGTCCTCCAGGTGATTCTCAACTAAGATTCTCATCCTCAATAGAGTACAGTACTATTAGTGCTTTGAGTGGTCATCATTCTCCATTGAAAAAGGTATCAGCACTTATTGTAAGTGCTGTCCAAGGAAAGCACTGTCCAATCAATGAATCGGGAAGTGTAATAAACCCTCCAGAAGGGAAGCACCCTAGTGGCCAAGAACATGAGGAAGTAGAATGGTAGGTAACTGTAATGGTAATGTAACCATGGTTCTACAACTAAGTGGAGAAGTGCCAGACCATATGAGTCACTCAGGTTGCTGAGAATGGCCAGAGGATGACCATGCCATAGCTGGGGCCTTTTATTGGATGCAAAGGTGGGGTCATGGTCAAAAGGTGATGATTCTGGTTTTAATACTCAGCTAGGACATGAGCACAAGCAAAAACTCCACTAATTGTGGAAGGAAACCAGCCTGACAGTTCATTAAAAATTGAAGAGTCATAGTCGTATACATGTTTTTGTTCCTCTTTCAGCTGCTTCTGTTAGTCATTGCCACAGTTGATCATTGTGGCTGGGGTTGGTTACTTGGCCAGAACCCGGGCTACAGGGGTGAAAGCATTGTGGCGTAACCACTAGTCCTCCAGGGACCTACCATAGTCACATACATAATCTATCAAAATTATGTACTTAATTAGGCACACACGCACACACCCAGAGTGAGATCCATGCAAACACACAAAAAGACAAAGTGCTGACATGCCCTGTCAACAGCTAATCTTTGCTAATCCTGGAACATCAACGACCTGCTTGGCATGCATTTCCAATCACTGGAAATGGTATGTGTGTAATTAATTTACAGGTTTCATCCAAGTTTATGTTAGAACTTTGTAAAAGAAATGGTCTTCACTGAAAATGTAACACAGTACAATGATCATTCTGTTACCCGTAAATATTTTCCCTGTACTTTATTCATTTTAAGCTTTCCATGAGGACACAATACCGATTGTTAACATCTCATTATACTCCGCATTGCCAGTTTGATTGAGATCACAGATTAAAGCCAGACAGTAAAATTAAGACAGTTTTCCAGCAAAAGTGATTAAAAAAGTAGCCTATCTCTGATTCTTGACTGCTTTGCTCTGCTTGATACCATGACATAAATGACTTCTTGAATGCCTGATCAAGGGGCTGTGATCCAGCAAAAAAAAAAAAAAAAACAAGGTCTACCTTGGCAAAAGTGTTTATGTTGTGCCAGTGTTTATGTGGAGAAAGTTTTCAATATTAAGAGTTGGTTAGCGCAGGTACACCAGTTCAATTTTTGGGTGCTGCTTTCATATTATTATAATTACCTGCGTGTACTTCACACCTCTGTGGCTGCCAGACATTGTTAAGTACAGGTGTCTGAGATGGGGTTTTCAATGCCATCTAGACCACCACCTTTAAACACAAGCACTTGCCTTTAAGCCCCCCAAAAAAATCAAAGAATAAAAAAATACAGACTGAAGCATTTTTTCTTTGTTTTCAACTGCAATATGATGCAACATAAAAGCAAGAGAGAACAGAAAAATAGTCAAATAAAGAGAAAAACTAATAAGATGATATATAAATGAGAAGATACACGTGTTTAAACAAACATCTGTATCAAGTCTTTATACTGATATGTGCTATTTCAATATTAACACCTCACTATGCATGCCGAACACAAGTCTGAATATAGCCCATAATGTGTAATTCAGGATATCTTATATCTTTTGCCTTATTAATAAGCAATGTCTTATGTTATTACGATTGACTAAGGTCACATGATTAGGCTGCAGCCAGTCAGAAGAAACTCTGGGTTTTCTTCCACTCACCTGCCTGCTAAGGGGGTGTGGCCAGTGCAGACAGCAGTTTTCAGTATAAAGAATAAAGATTGGTTTAACTCTAGCGATAAAGAGGTTGTTTGCCTTTGCTGCTGCTTTGGAGGCAGAATGTCTCCAAGCAGCTTTCACAGTTAAAGTGGGATGTTGCTTTTCACATTGGTTGAATGTCCCAAAAAGTTTTTGTTTTTTTTTAATTATATTGCAACATTGGAATTTGATAAATAGCAGTAAAATATGTTTAATTCCTCATGTCATAAATCTCCTGAGATTTGCCTCCTAACAAGACTCTTTCTTCATCAGCACTTTATCCTCCCTGTATGTTTTTCTTACTTGCCCCCAACTTGTGACCTGATTGGTCAGTGTGGTGGGTGTGGTGTGTAGGCATATTAATAGTATCTGGATATCTGGATCTACACAAAAGTGTTGGCACTTATCTGCCTTTTCTGTTATCTTATGACTTTTTTGTGAACCAGCTTGTCACACAATTGATTATTCGATATAGAGAAACTGAGAAGCTGATATGGTTTTCAAAACTAGTCTTCAGTAACTTAGTTGTAATAGTGTAAAATAACCATGAATTCACTAGTATTAGATTATCATATTATGTAAGTGCTTATAGGCATAACTCTCACTATACCAGTTAAATACAAGTATTTGAATTTCATTAACAAGTGTATGGATGAATATAAAATACAGGACAGAACCAAATATGGAGTTGAGATGAAAGTGATGAGAAGAACAAGAGATTGTCAAGGTAGGGTCAGGGCAAAGGTCAAAAGTCACTTTGTTAAAGATAAAGTCACCTTTTCTCTCTTTGAATGGCACTTGAGTTCAGAGCTTTACTTACAAGTATAAAGCTAAAGTGTACATAATAGTAAGCATGGTAAGTTACCTGGCGGTCTAGTGGATAACATGCAGTGCTCTCATCGCCCTGGTCCAGGTTCTATTCCTGGTCAAGGAGCCAACCCTAGCCAGTGGAGGGTTGTATGAGCCAGTGCATTCTCAGTGCCAGTCCCAAGCCTGGAAATGGGGAGAGTTGTGTCAGGAAGGGCATCTGGCATAAAACCTTGTACCAGAATCAATATGTGGATGTGTGATGTGCTGTGGCAACCCTGAACGGGAGCAGCTGAAAAAGGAAAAAAACAACAACACAATATTAAGCAGAGTATAATTAAACACAGGATATACTGTATACATCATGCCAAATGTTCAGCATTTACATAAAGACACACCAATGCCATGGTTTTAACGCAAAAGCCCATGACAATATATCAGCAAATTCACGGAAATTTTTTTTATCAAGGTTTATGTGTGTCAGTTTGTGCATTTTCAATGGCGGCATATACTGTATACTATGTAGACATGTCTTTATTTTGTTTTAAAGGTAAAAAAAGGTAAAAATTAGACAGCACAATGCAGGTTACACAGACAGCAAGAGCTAATGTTCGGTAGCTAACAAAGTTACTAAAAAAATGCACTCCATTTTTGGCAAGCAGAGAGCTGATACATGTCTGATACCTACAGTACATGACAGATAAAAATGTGATAATAAATGCGGCTCAGAGTAATATTCTTTCAGAATTTTAAGTTACACTCTGGATAACAGGTGCTTGTTGGAGTTTGGGTAGATGTTGGTTCTTTTGGTGATATACTGTAATGGTCATTTATAAGGAAGAAAGGCCTGTGCATAGACATAAAGGGGAAGTCACTAGCATCAATATCCCTGTGTTTAACTTTCTACCCACAGCAAATTGTTAAATTATTATTATTATGATGATTATAATTATGATTATTATTATTAGTAGTAGTAGTAGTAGTAGTAGTAATTTCGGTTGTAGTGGACATTCCTTTCAAAATAATTAAATGTCATTAAAATGTGTAACAAATTGTACTATTTTAAAGTGGAGATCTACAAGTGTAGTACTTTCTTTGTCAGCCTTTATCAGGTGCCCTCGAATAGTCTTTTTTTCTGTGCTTACTTTAGTGTGCAGCAGGCATCATTATAAAACTGAGTTTTATTATTAGTTACTAGATTGAAACCTCTAATGTTGCTCGGTATATATATGTGATTGTAGCTTAACGAAATCATTCACATTGTTTCATTTCATTGTATTACATGCCCTGATAACTACATTATAACTGGGAATTTATAGACTTAATAAGATTTTTTTTAAACCACAAAAATAGTTCTGCATTGCATTTCCTTGTCATTTTGCAATTAGTTTTTTTTAATCTAAAGGAAGCTTATACAATAACTTGTGACATGTAAGCTATAGTTCTATAAGCAACAAAGTCTGTTGTAAGGTTGAATAATATTTTTAATGACAGAATTTTTGAGACATTAAGTAAGTTACTTAATTGGGTACTTGGTTATGATGCTAATAGTTAAAGTAGCAGTTAACATATCTGAAAACATTTCAGAATTTGAAAAATTGTAGGTTAGCTTTTTTTTCCATCAGGATGTAAAGGACACTGGACAATGAGGGCAAAGGGGCAGTGGCTGTCCCCTCCCTCTGCACGTCTCCGATAGCTCAGACATGTCCTTAATAAGACCTGCTGACGGCTATAGCCTCTGGGCTTGCTGTGAGAAACCAAACAGAAGTTCAAAGAGACACGAAGAAGAACAGAAACAATCAGAAATGAAAAAAGAACACATTCAGAGACAGCCACTCATTGTTCGGAGTGCTGCAATTGATTATTAAGAGTACTTAGTAATTAGAAATTAAAGGCATTCATTTCTGCAAGAATTACCCGAATTCATTCCATGAAATTAAAGGGCCTATGCAGCATTAAGCACTGGTAACAGCACTTAGGAAATAAATTGTCCTATAAAGAAACTACAGTGAAAAGTATATACTTACTAGGTGTACTGATTTATGGTGCAACATAATAGCACTTTCTGCAGCTCAAATGATTTCTACAGGTGCCAACATGTTATCCATTTTTGGCAGACTAAAAAGAAATGGCACTATTACCATGGCAACATTTATCAATCACATATCATCACTGTTTATACCAGAGTTGCACTGAGGCACAGAAAAACAGTTTTTTCAATGTCAACATGTGAAGACTGCAGCAATAGCGTGAACTAGCATGTTTCTAACAGTTATACTGATGGCCAGAGAATGCATTTAATAATCCTTTTTCAATTCAGAATAGTTATGCAGCTCCTTTACCCTTCTTTTATATTATGAATATCTACAAAATAACAAATCATGCAAATCAAACTGAACCCCAGACTCAGACCTATACTCCTTCTTAAGAAATATTCTCTGTATTCTCTCTATTTTCAAGTGAAATATATTGTATAAGTCTATAGAATCAGGGACTAATTGCTGCGTATGGGGCTGTGTAGCCACAGACCTGTCAGAGTGCCCATGCTGACCTCTGTCCACTGCCAAAAGTGCCTACAATGGACAGGTGAGCATCAGAACTGGACCACGGAGCAATGGAAGAAGGTGGCCTGGTCCGATAAATCACATTTTCTTTTACATCATGTGGAAAGCCGGGTGTGTGTGCATCCTTTACCTGAGGAAGAGACGGCACCAGCATGCACTATGGGAAGAACGCAAGCTGGCGGAGGCAGTGTGATGCTCTGGGCAATGTTCTGCTGGGAAACTTTGGGTCCTGGCATTCATGTGGATGCTATTTTGACACACACCACCTACCTAAACATTGTTGCAGACCAGGTACACCCCTTCATGGCAACGGTATTCCCTAATGGCAGTGGCCTCTTTCAGGAGGATAATGTGCCCTGCCACACTGTAAAGATTGTTCAGGAATGGTGCGAGGAACATGACAAAGAGTTCAAGGTGTTGACTTGGCCTCCAAATTCCCCAGATCTCAATCCAATCGAACATCTGTGGGGTGTACTGGCCATCAAGTCCAATCCATGGAGGTCCCACCTCGCAACTTACAGGACTTAAAGGATCTGCTGTTAACGTCTTTGTGCCAGATACCACAGCACACCTTCAGGGATCTAGTGGAATCCATGCCTCAACGGGTCAGGGCTGTTTTGCCAGCAAAAGGGGGACGAACACAATATTAGGCAGGTGATCATAATGTTATGGCTGATCGGTGTATATAGATACTGTATGTTTACTCAGTTGGTAGAAATATATATAGTAATGTTTGATTTAAGACCATTTTAGCCAAGACCATGTCAAGACCAAGACCACAGCCAGTAGAGTCCGAGTCAAGTCCGAGTATGACAGGGAGGCAAGACTAAGACAGGACCAACACCACACATGGCCGAATCCGTGTCAAGACTGAGACCAGATGCTCAGATATGTTAATTCGCTGGTTGTAGTATTTTCCTAACCTGTCTAAATTGTTTTCTAATCTTATTTCTGTAGAATTAACTCAAATATCTCATCTACTTTGGCAATATCATTTTGTAAAAATAAGCACACAGGACATAAATAGTACATTAATCATAGGCCATTCTTCTAGCAAGTGCTGCAGTGTCATCCTATTTTATATCATTGCATTGGGGGGTTAGGGAGCATGTGTATAGGCCCTATATAACTCCACATGCAGAGATATAGATTTACATTTTGTACTGTAACAAGAACATTACAAAGTACTTGTTCATGAAAATGATGTTATGGTCTTGGGTGCTGTTGGAAAAATATTTTGAGACTTTTGAGACCAAGTAAAAAAAAAAAAGGTTATTACAACACCGAGATCATTGATTTGTGGTCTCAAGACTGGTCTCAAGTACCACAACACTAATCTGTAGTAGGCTTTAGCTAAAACTGACTTCACGAAAGTGTGTAAAAAAAATAATCTGACCTTGTTTTTGATTAATTTCAATGAACTTCCTTTTTTGTGCCACTCCTGTGCATCATGTACATCACCAGAAAAGTTCATAAGCGAATAGAGTTAGTGTGACAAACACATATACTCAATATATGCCGAATTCAATTAGGATTATTACCATTGGCCATTTTGAATTGTGTTTATGGTTAAAATTAATATGTAACCACCTTTTTTTTTTTTTTTAGAAATATTTGTCTTGTAAGAAGGAACATTTGGCTATGAGTTGTTTTTAAAAGTAAAAGTAATGAGGATTTGATGTAACTTACAAAATATCACTTATACAGTAGATTTGGCATATCTTTATCTAAAGCGGCTTGCAACTAGGACAGGATCAGAAATCAAAGAATAAAGTGAGCAGTTGAGGGTTGCTAATTGACCAGCCATGTCAGTGTTTCAAGTCCTAGGAACTATGATGAGCTGAGAACCTTAACCACTGAACCACCACTGATCCTAGTAATTAGAAGTTACCTACTATAAGAGACTAATAATACCCTGATATAAAGAGCAGGTTATTGGTGGCTGAGCATTTACCTTTCTGAAGGTACTGTACTCATTATGCATTAATCATGATATGCATTAATTCATGCCTTATACAACTTAGAAAATGGTAGCAAAGAAGATGAATGCCATTTTGTTTCCTCTCCTTTGTTAAATCCTGTTTCATTTAAATACTATAGTTCTGGTTTTCTATTGGTTCACTGAGTACTAAGCAGAAAAACACACAAGTAAACCACACACAGACAAACCACAATGCCAGCCACAGCAATAAACCACATTACAATGCTTTAGCCTATATTACAACATAAAACAAAAAAATACTGGGTCTCAATATGGACAAAATGAATCAAAATGATGACAGGATGCCTGTATTTGTGTAAGTATTTTGCTGCATTTTGGTGTCTGGATGTGTGTGTGGTGGGAGATTTAGCAGGATGAGTAAGAGGCCACATTGTTTGTCTCGAATGGCGGCTGCTGCTATTGAAAAGGCATCACGCTAGCAGCCTGCGGGCTCTCGCCAGACATCAACAATCGCACTTCAATCGCTTGTGCACACTGATCCTGTATTCACACAACACTTAATCATCCCTCTTAACGGTGGAAACACACTTTTCTTACACACACAGACACATGCCTGGGGAA